CTCTCGGAGGATATTAGGAACCAGGGTAAACATTTCGGCAATTTTTATTTCCGGGCGAAAAAGTCAAAAAATTCCAAAATTGAAGACTAATATCCACGCTTTTTGAGATATTTTGGAGGTTTCGGGGCCGGTGTCGAAAAGTCTTGAAATTATTTGTTGGGGTCATATAATGCTATAATGCTATTTGGAATCATATATGACCATTATTTGTTGTCATAAATGTTCGTGGTAGGCTTGAATTAATGAAATCGGTGCAAGTTGTAAACTGGTAAATTGGTCATTTAAAGGCAAATTGGATGGTTCTAACCACCCAATGGGACCTCCCGGACGGTATTAGGGAATATGGTAAACATTTCGGCAATTTTTATTTTCGGGCGAAAAAATAAAGTCAAAATTTTCAAAATTGAAGGCTAATATCCACGCTTTTTGAGAATTTTTGGAGGATTCGGGGCTCGATATCGAAAAGTCTTGAAATTCTAGGGGATACATCTCAGGGTAATTTAATGCCGTTTGGAACCATATATGATCATTATTTGTTGTCATAAATGTTCGTGGTAGGCTTGATTTAAATGAAAACGGTGCAAGTTATAAACCAGTAAATAGGCCGTTTAAAGGCAAATTGGATGGTTCCACCCACCCAATTGGAATCCTGAAGGGTATTAGGGATCATGGTAAACATTTCGGTAATTATTATTTCCGGGCGAAAAAAAGTGTAAAAATTCCTAAATTAAAGGCTAATATCCAAGCTTTTTGAGAAATTTTGGAGGATTCAGGACCCAGTATCGAAAAGCCTTAAGATTCTAGAAAATACATCTCGGAGTCATATAATGTCATTTGGAACCATATATAATCACTATTATATTTGTTGTCATAAATGTTCGTGGTAGGCTTAAGTTACTAAAATCGGTGCAAGTTATAAACCGGTAAATTGGCCTTTTAAAAGCAAATTGGATGGTTCCATCCACCCAATTGGACTTCCGGAGGGTATTAGGGAATATGGTAAACATTTTGCAATTTTTATTTTCTGGCGAAAAAAGTCAAAAAATTCCAAAATTGAAGGCTAATATCCACGTTTTTTGAGAAATTTTGGAGGTTTCAGGACCCGGTGTCAAAAAGACTTGAGATTTTATGGTATACATCTCGGGGTCATAAAATGTCGTTTGGAAAAATATACGATCATTATATGTTGTCATAAATGTTCGTGGTATGCTTGAGTTAATGAAATCGGTGCAAGTTATAAACCAGTATATTGAGCGTTTAAAGGCAAATTGGACGGTTCCACCCATCCAATTTGAGTCTCGAAGGATATTAGGGACCATTGGTAAACATTTCGGCAGTTTTTATTTACGAGCGAAAAAAAGTAAAAAAAATCCAAAATTGAAGGCTAATATTCACGTTTTTTGAGAAATTTTTATTTGGAGGTTTCGGGACCTGGTGTCGAAAAGTCTTGAGATTTTAAGGAATATATCTCGGGGTCATATAATGTCATTTGAATTCATTTATGATCATTATTTGTTGTCATAAATGTTCATAGTAGGATTTAATTAATGATATCGGTGTAAGTTGTAAACCGGTAAATTGGTCTTTTAAAGGCAAATTGGATGGTTCCATCCACCCAATTGGACTCTCGAATGGTATTTAGGACCATGGTAAACATTTCGGCAATTTTTATATCTGGGCGAAAAAAGTAAAAAAAATTCCAAAATTGAAGGCTAATAATCTATATCCACGTTTTTTGAGAAATTTTTGAGGTTTCGGGGCCCGGTGTCAAAAAGTCTTGAAATTTTAGGGGATATATTTCGGGGTCATATAATGCGTTTGGAACAATATATGATCGTTATTTGTCGTAAAAAATGTTCGTGGTAGGCTTGAAGATGATGCTCCTTTCTTTTGCTGGCCTGGACCGACTTGGTCTGCTTAGACAAAATGCTTTGATCAACAATAATAAGGTGGTTCAAATTGCATTTAAGTTGATTTGAAATCGGGTCAGGAACAATTTGGGTTGAATTTAGGTCGGGTCAATAACAAGTTGTGTTGATTCCGAGTCGGTTTAGTAACAGATCAGGTTGAATTTTTGGGTCGGGTTAGTAATAGGCCACGTCTGGTAAAATTCGGGTTGGGTCAACAACAAATCGAGTTGCATTTGGGTCAGGTCATAACAAGTCGGGTTGATTTCGGGTCGGGTTTATAACAGGTTGGGTTAAATTCGGGTCGTGTTAGGAACGAGTCGGGTTGAATTCAGGTCAGGTTAGTAACAAGTTGGGTTAAATTCGGGTTTTGATGGGTTAAAACGGGTTTGGATTAATTTCGGTTCAAGTTGGGTTAGGTTCAGGTCAATGATTTACGGGTTACATTCGGGTCGGGTCATCTCTAGGCCAGTTCATGTTCGGGTTTGGGTCTCATATACTCGGGTCAACTCAGGTCTAGGGTTGGTTTCAGGTCGGGTCATGTCGGGTTTGGGTCACCATTTTTTCGGGTTTAGATGGGTCGGCTAATAATTGGGTTTGAGTCGGTATTTCGGGTCGGGTCAACTTTTGACACCTCTAGATAGAAGTACAAAAATAACCATGTGATGTAAGCATAAACTAAAAAATTAAGTAAGGATAAATTAGGTATTTTACAGTGTGAACATAGATATTTTGTTTCCTTAATTAAATGGATATGGTGCAATAATTGTGAAACTTTCTTAATAGGCAAGTGGTGCAATAATTAAAAAACGGAGGAAGTATTTAATTTCATGTTCTCTCTCCTTCCTTTCTCTCCATTACTTTTGCTTTTTACAATTTTTTATTCTTTCACATATTCCACTACCTCTATATATATTTTATTGTTTTCTCCAATTTCTCCAAAAACTCCGCGCATGGAGAAATGTAGCAAGTATTTAAAAACGGAGGGAGTATTCAGTACAAAATAATTTTAATTCAGTAAATTTAATTTCAGTTCAGTAAAATTAATCTTAGTTTAGTAAAAATAAGGTCAGTTCAGCGAAAAATAATTTCAGTTTAGTAAAAAACATTGCAGTTCAGTAAAAATAATTTCAGTTCAGTAAAAATCACTAAACTCAAAAGTATAATAGAAAATTAGTAAAAATAATTTCAGTCCAACAAAATTAATTTCAATTCAGTAAAATTAATTTAAGTTTAGTAAAAATAATTTAAGTTCGGCAAAAATAATTTCGATTCAGTAAAAATAATTTCAACTGAGCAAAAATAAGGTGAAGTAAACGAGGCCTAAGGGTCTGTACCGATTTACTGAACTGATTGAAGCTGAACTGAATTGATCTGAATTGTTTATGATAGAAGGAAATTAGGAACTGAACTGAAGTGATTAGAGCTGAACTGAGCTGAAATTAAGTTGAATAGAACAAGCCCTAATACGATTTACCAATCAATCTATATATACAATTTAACTTTCTATAACTTTAAGTGCTTTAACTTATTCAAACCATTACTTAGGGCCTGTTTACATTTACTGAACTGAGCTGATAGGAGCTGAACTGAACTTAATAGAGCTGAAATCATTATTTTATGAGAGAAGGAAAGTAGGAGCTGAACAGAGCTGAACTGAACTTAATAGAGATGAAATCATTATTTTATGAGAGAAGGAAAGTAGGAGCTGAACAGAACTGAACTGAACTGATTAGAGTTGAAATGAACGAAACTTATTGGAGCTGAAGTGAATTGAAATGAAATTAAGTTGAGGTGAACAAGCCCTTAGTAAAAATATTATTGGTGTATAGTGGTGAAAGTAGAGTTTGGTGGTTGAAGTAACTTTTGAGCAAAATTAATATTATTAGCTTTTGGAATTTTTCTTATATTTTTTTACAAAATGTTACAACATTTAGTTTATCAAATACTTAATGGCCTTGTTCACTTCACCTTATTTTTGCTAAACTAGAATTATTTTCACTAAACTTAAATTATTTTTACTGAATTGAAATTATTTTTGCTGAACTGAAATTATTTTTACTGATTTATAGTTATATTTCCTCTTTAAAGTTATTGATTTTTACTAAAATAAACTTATTTTTGTTAAACTGAAATTATTTTTACTAAAGTGAAATTATTTTTACTAAATAATACCCCCGTCCCTTAATTAGATTCCTACTTCTAGCTGTATTCCTCACATAATAGAGCGAGAGAAGCAAGAATCTAATTAAAGGACGAAGGGAGTATGTTTTAAAGGTAAAGTGAACAAGGGCGTACTTAATTACTTGTATTTATTTTCACAGCTAACAACTAGTTGATAGCTAACTACTACACATATAGTTAACCATCACAGCTGACAGCTACCTACCTCAGCTCTACAGCTATATTTTGTCGAACACACCCATAATATACAATAATTTTTTTTTTCTTTTTTTTTTTGAAACATAGTGTAGGATAATTGATAAGAAAAAATCTTAAGCAAATAAGCACTCAAAGAAATGATGCATATACAAGTATTTTTGAACCGTTTGTATATTAAAAGTTTCATGTTAACTTAGCTTCATACGGCCATTTAAAAGCAAATACTTAGTGCAAATAATAAAATTTTCTAATTTGCTAAAATACTCAAAACGGAAAAAGAGTACTAAACTATATTCTTCTATTAGATTAGATCGAGCAATAATTTTGTAAAAAATAAAAAAATAAAAAAAAAATCAAGCAATAATCTCATAAATCCAAGATAAATTAAAGGTACGAACGATATTCATCTAAGATACTCTAAGTTGAGAAATAAAATATTCACGCAGATGTCAACTATTTAAATTGGTAATTTTTTGTAAATTCGAATATACTAAAAATTAAATTTTGAAATCCATTATTGACATCTATCCAACTAAGTCAAATCACACATAAATGGTAAGTAATCTCTTTCACTTTTCATCCAAATCATGAAATATTTATAATAGAACCTTTATATCAAGCAAAATAGGATATAAATATCATTATTATTGGTAAAAAAATCCATGTATAATTGTGAAATTATAGCAATAATATACCAATAAATTTTCAAAATCTCATCCAGCAAAGCAATAGTTACTGAGGGGTGGTTGAGTGAAGCTTTAAAAAGGGGTGAACAACTTCATTTTTGTTCAAGTCAAAGTCAATCTTCAATTGATTGTGATTTTGAAAATAATATAAACAAACAATAAAAATAGGGCACAAAAATTACTTTGGAGATCAATCAAACAAAAAACATGAAAAATAATAGTAACAATAATTATGAGAGATCTGGGAATTCTTCTTCAAAGAAGGGGAAAAACAAGTGTACCTCGAGTACGAACAATAATAGTAATAGTAGTAATAATAATAATGATATCGAAAAACCCCGACAACCTCAAAGAGGTCTCGGGGTTGCTCAACTAGAGAAGATTAGATTGCATACTCAAATGGCTAGTTGTGGCCTTATTCCTCCTCATCCTTTTCTTAATCCTGCATTTCAGGTATTTTCTCTCTTTTTTTAAAAAAAAAAAATTTAACACATTTTTTGTCATTTTTTTAAATTTGTGTTTTATTGAAATGGTTGGATTTTTATTGATGTTTTTTTTTTTTTTTGTACGATCATTTTAGCATATTCCGGATGATATAAAGTTCCAACTTGCATATCATCAAGGAATGCCACCACCACCACCGCCACAGCAGCAGCAGCAGCCGCCATATTATTCGTCGCCTTCGGTTCCGCCTTCTGCTTATGGTTATCACCATCCTAATGCTTATATGGTATGTTAATTTGCTTTTTTGAAAGAGTTTGGATTTAAATTTTTTTTATTTTTTTAAAAAAAAAAAAAACAGACTTTAATTGTGACATATAAGTATATATGGTTTATTTTGAATATAGATTGACCTAAAATTAAAGGGACTTATTTTTTTTTTTTTTTTAATTTTTAATGTACAACATCAAGCTTAAAATTTGAGTTACAGGAGATAAACAATTTGAAATTCTGCAATTAATTACTTGTTTAATTACGAGTAACATTTTTAAGGTGAATTAAAGGTTTAACATCAAAATTCTGAAAAAAAGAATTCCCCATTTTCAAAATTATATCGTATAATAAAATTATAATAATAAAGATTAAAAAAAAATAAGTGAAAAAATTTAATCACTCTATGTTCTTGATGGTATTAAAGTTTTTTATGGAGTAATTAATTACAGTAAAAAAAGATTCATTTAGATGCAATATTTTTTTTCCATTTTTTATTTATTGTGTAAACCTCTTGTCATTTTTAATTCTTAAGCTTTGATTTCTATGGTCAACTTATTAAATTTCCGACTACACTAATTCAGTATATTTTAAAAAATAAATAAAACAATATCATACGGGATCTTAATAGATTCCGCTTCAAAATTTATTTTATAAATTATAAATATTAATTTTTTATAATTTTTACGCGTATCATATTAAATGTATACGCAGTGAAAGATGAACACGGTATAATTCAAAGTGTAAAGAAAAAAAAGTGACAGAGAGTATTATTTTTATTTCTATAATTTGGTGTTTTTATTTTTTGACTTTTTTTAATTCATTATTGTCATTAAATTTTAATGTTAGAATTTATCATAATTTAATTTAATTAAATCATGAAATAAATACTTATGCAGATGGGAATGGGAGATCATATGGGGACAGGCAATATAGGATACAATGAATCTCAGTTATGCAAGACAACAAGGTATGAATTGTAATTTAGAATTAAATTAAGATTTTTTCCCATTTCATAAATGTAATAAAATTTATTTGGTAATTTCTGAATTTCATTCCATAATTCCTAAGATTTTCAAATAATTGTAATATATTCGTATTATACGTAACACAAATTAATTTTATTGTACACTTTAATAATTAGATGGACAGAATGGAACCCTATTAACAATATTCGCCTCACCCAGGAGAGCCAGCAACCAGACCTTCTACCATTAAGTATGGTCACTAGGCACCTTCTAAGCCAAGTTGAGGTAATATAAAGGTTTTTTTTTTTCGAAAATATTAAGATTTTGAAACATTTTATTTTTTGAGGAATTAATGGTTTCTGGTAGAGTATATAAACTGATCCTAGACTAAAACCATCCGCTTAAGTTAAGCTGATGGTTTAAGTTCACGATTGGTTTATAACTTTATATATTGTGTCAATTTCTAACTTCAATTTGTACGCAAAACTTTTTTTTTTTCAGCAACATAATAGAAGCAACGAGTCGTTGGAATCAATGAACTCCGGCAACCAGAATTCTGAATTAAGGGAAAATGAAGAACTGGATTTGGAGCTTAAACTATAGCAAAATTTAGATAGTCATTTGGGTTCATAGTTTTTGTAGTCATTGCTTTTTCTTTAGACAAAAAATTAACCACAGAAATTATCATTAGGTAAAACAAAATTGATAGTTGTTCGTTTATTGTTTTTGGACCACATTTAATTTGTAACAAATAGTTATTATTTTTTTTATATATATATTATTATGCAAACAAAATTTATAGATACAAAAATCATTTATAGAATTTCATTAACATATACGGAGTAATTTCTTTACTTTAGCTTATTGGAGTCAATAATTTGTGTTGTAGTGTACATTTTATGTTGCAACCGATGCTATTTCTCTGTGCTGGTACGTATAGTTGTCGCATATTTTGTGGAATTTGTTATATACACTCGAGTATACCGAACAATTAAAATTAGTTTTTTGCTCTCATTTGATGATTAAATGAAAAATAATCATCAAAATAAGAACAAAATACGCATCATAGGAGTCATGGGTGTACGATACACCCGAGTGTATAGGAACAAATACTCATGGGAGTAATATTAGCCTTGACAGGACCTTGGTACGTACAATCAGTTGTACAACGAAGATCTTCGATAGATTATGAAGTTAATTTAATTACAAGTATATATATTATACTCTCAATCTAGCAGACAACATCTATCAAGTACAAGTTTAAAATTTAATCTAGTTTAACTATTACCTTTATATGATAATAAGTAAGAATTTAAGTGTTAAACAGTTGTTTACTTTGCTAAAGAAGGTTCAATAGAGGTAGAAAATTTTAGTCTAGTCTCATTATCAAATCAGTTGGTGTAAAGCATAACTCATACCTACACTAGATTAGTGATAAGACATCATTAAGGTTAATCAAGGTGGATCTAATTCTTTTTTCTCATCTAATTTTATAAGAGATTCGAAGACAACATAGCAAATTAAAGAAAAAGGGACTTAATTATTGATTTCTTATCCTTTATTTAAAGGATAATTAGACGTCTTACAGTGATGCAATTTGACATTTTTCCTCTGAAAAGTGGAGCTAATTGGGACCTATTCCATACGTGGGATTGTTGGAGCTAGAAGGCTCTATGGGGAGTACCATACAACACGAGAGTAAGATGATCGACCCAACCTAATAACTTAGGCATAGTGGTGTGAGGGTTCATTCGATTTTCCTAAATTTCCTTATGTGAACAATTTAACTTATGCAAGCGTATTATAATATATTGCAGTTGTGAATTAAATCTAGCTCGCTTTACTTTGCAATCTTATTGATAATGACTCTCAAAAGGATATGACTTAAGTTCAATTCCCATATGACTTATATCAGTCAATAATTAATTTTATCTCTTATTAGTCAATAATTAATTTTATCTCTTTTAACAATGATAAATATGCTTGACATCAAATGAATATACTCTCAAAATTGAAATTACATGAGTATTATTAAAAAAAATAAAATTACATGTATTACTAATTAATTGTCGAAACTAAACAATTCACATTATGTGTAGATAACCCAACTCCCAATCTTGACACTGAGCAAGCTCATGTGTCATTTTATTCCCCTCTCTACGAAAGAAACTCCATACCACGCTCTCGAAAGAGTTACATACATGATAAATATCATAAAGAACGTAAACAAGATGAAAACTACTCTCACTCTATCATGTAACCAAATTGCATTCACCAATTCTAAACAATCACTTTCAACAATAATTATTCGAGATCCAAAGTAGCAAGTTGAACCCAACAACAAGTTGAACCCAACAAATTAGACTTAGCCTCAACAACTCGAGGCTCCCAACAATGATATCAACCATCCAAGCCACTACCACCCGTGCATATCTCGAAAAATAGCCCCACCCCAACCCCTGATGTTAAGTACTTTGATTTTGCATTTGGATGAACGATATTAATTATGTATTGAATTCTTATTGAATTCATTTTTTTTATTTTACATATATTTTATAAAGTAATTAAGATATTATTAAGGTAATGAATGTTGAGAAGAATAGTGGTAAAGTGATAAACCAAATAAGTAATAAAAATGAATACACAATAGTCAATAGGGAAGGATGCTAAAAGAGTGGGTAGCAACCTAGTAGGATCATCGTGGTGGATCACTCCTAAATGACGCCCAACACCTGTTATTTATAGAATTATAAGTTGACAAAGATAGTTTCATGAAATTGATGGAATTGTGAGGAAAATTCCATAATTATCCAACATCATATTTTTCAGAAGAATCATGAATTTTTAATAGGCACATTGAATTTTCTAGAAAATGTCATATACTCGTAAATAATCCATCATCATTAAAATTGTGGGTTTATGGAATTTGGAGCACACTAAACTCATCAAAAACCATTATGTAGAACATCGGCCCTATGTGTTTCCAAAAGATATTAAAAAAAGAGTACAATGGTAAATTAACATGTAGATATTTTATAGGATTACAATGTTTTTTTTTTTTTTTTAATTTAATTTATTTTTTTACAGGGAGTATAAGTTATATTATTAGTACTATTGTGTGTCACAGTAGCTAATAGTATAATGTTTACATTTACATCAGTTTGCTAATACGTACTTCTCTAACAGAGAGGGCTTTGCCAATTTGACTTTTAACAATCTCCAAGATAGTTTTTAAGAAGATAGCTATTTTTAAAATTTGTGCATTTTAAAAATTACAAAAAAATAAAAAAAAATAATAAAATGATTTTTTGAAATTAGATATTAAACGATCTTTTAAAAAAAATCTCAAATGCTTATATTAATTATATAGAAGTATTATAAATTACTGGATATAATCGTGAAAATAAGTGATGTATCAATCTATGAAAAAAGTGACGATAATAATATAATACACTAGTGAAGTAGTGATACATCAATCTATGTCGTGATGAAAATAGATTTGTACGATGATTGAAATACATAGATTGATCCATAATATATGTTGTGATAATAATAAAATATTTCCCTCACTATTTTCTCTCCTCCATCTCACCACTTCAAAGATCAAATAAATACAACATTACGATGGAAAAACACACAAAGCTAGCAAAACAAAAAAAAACCACACATACATGGTTTTGCATTTCTGCTAGAGGGGGACCTTCCACCGGGGCCATTTAATATTATTATAACCTTGTTTAACTTATAAAATATCGGAACATAGTGACTAATTTAAAACGAGAGGCAAAAGATTCAAATCTCGACCTCTTTAATATTTTTGGTCAAGATCCGCCACTGATTTCTGCAGCTATCCTTACCCGTTGAAATCTCTGACCTTTGTAGACTCAAATGTGGCCTATTTAGGGGATGAACATAAATGGGCAATCCATGTTGTTGTAATTACTCTCCTGTTTTCACTTAGAAAAATAAAGCGATTATTTACTCTAAATCCGTCAACTATGACATGGTCTAGTTTGATTTGTCTATGAAATTCGACCACATCGATATAAGAATATCAAGGTGGCTATTATTAGATAGTTTCAATTTATGATATGAATTTTGATGGATATAACCTTCAATCGCAGTTGAAAGGTTTGGAATCTTGAGTCTCGGTCAAGAAACGCTAAGCAACACGAGCTTAAAACCTAAACTAGGCCAAGAATACACAAGCACAAGCTTACGTAAAACTTTATAAATTTCAAATCAATCAATCATACTTTTTGTTAAACACCATCACGTAATTATAAGATAAATAATTAGCCTAAAAATCGGTAAAACAAATTCTAATCTAACTAGGAAACTAACTCTAACTTGTAAAGATAATATTTTGCAAATATGATCTTTAAAGTTAAGCTTATCTTATACTAACCGAATTAAACTAACAAAAATATCCTAATAAATTCGGTCATCTAATAATAAACTAAAAATAACAATAAAAATAATTATAATAACAATATTGATGCCTTGGAACCGCATCAATTTATGATGTTAAATACTTCATTTACATCGTTTTAACTTAATTTCTTATACAAATAAATGATAATATTGAATTGTATCAATAGCCACCTACAGTAAATAAAACATAGCCCGAATGGTTTAAAACATGGGTTCTAAATTAAGATCATTTTAAGAAAATTGTACAAGGAGATGGAATATGGAAATATACCTAGTAATTAGAATAGGAAATATTTTTCTTAACCTAATCCATTTCTCATGTTTGTTAGGTTAAAATGGGAGTATAAAATAACATCGAATTGAAGTGTTGGACCTTAATGGTTAAGGTTTAGTTTAGTTTCGTTCTTAATTTCTTCTCTCACAAAATATTCAGTTCAATTCAGCTCCAATCAGTCCAGTTCAGCTCTGTAAATCAGAACAGGTCTTAAGTCATGACTTCAACTCCCGATCCTAGGATCACAATTCACAAGTTCAAAATCGTGGGGGAAGGGGAGCCATCCCCCACATCGACGAAATCAAGTAAGTTCTTTTTTTTGCCTTTTCAAATAGTGTATATAACTGTATTTTAAAGCAAACATCTTAACAATTATATATACACATTGACATAATAATCAAGCCTTTTCTTTTAATTAAAGCACTAACTAAACTAATGTGACTCATATCCCAAATTGGCCTATATTTTTGGTCACACTAAGATTTACCATACTACATTTGGTTATATAAAATCAAAAATTACAAAAAAATCTTTAACACCCTAAATCCTCTAATTACTTGACTAAAAATAGCTAAAAACAACCACTAACCATCCATTATTTTTGGCCACCCACCACCACCTTAGCTTCATCCAGGTGAGAATTGCAACAAACAAAGGCAGCCCATAATTGAACACATTGCCCAAAGAAAGTAAAAAATTCCTCAAAAACTAAGGGTATAAAGAAGTCATATTAAGACAATTAAAAGGAAAAACCAAAAAAAAAAAAAAAAAATCAACTAGGGTAAATAATTTCTTCAAAGAGGGAAAATCAAACAAAAGAAACAATTTCTTTTGTTTTTCCCTTAATCTTAGTTTATATGTATCATCATCAAATGAAATAAAAAAATAAAAAAATTGTTAATAATCATTTTATAGCTCCTAATAATAAATAAACATGTCTACCTCTTGTACCTTGATCATCAAATTCTTATGCACATTTTCTCTCCTATTTGTGTGTACCTCAGCCCAATTATTTCCTGGATTTCCTCGTTTCGATGATCAAAACCAAGGACAAACACACAATGGTAAACATAA